TTTTTTTTTTCAATCTGTGCTTATGTTTGAAGCCTGTCTGTGCCGGGGGCGGGGGACGCTTGGCTGCTGCTTCTGTGCTGGGGGTGCCGGGCCGGACCGGGCCGTGCCGTGGGGCCGATGCTGCTGCCGGTCCCGCGCGGCTCCGGCTCCGTGCCCGGGTGTGCTGCGGCGGGGAGAAGCTCGGCATTGTCTCCGTCCGGCTGGCAATGCCCGCAAGCCTCCAGGATGCACATTTCCTCTCCTTCTCTCCTTGTTTTTGTCAGCGGTTCAGCGAGGAAGAATGCCGCCCACCCAGCCCAACCCCGGCCAGTACGCCCTGACCAACGGGGACCCCCTGAACGGGCACTGCTATCTCTCGGGATACATCTCCCTGCTGCTGCGGGCCGAGCCCTACCCCACCTCCCGCTACGGCAGCCAGTGCATGCAGCCCAACAACATCATGGGCATCGAGAACATCTGCGAGCTGGCCGCCCGCCTGCTCTTCAGCGCCGTCGAGTGGGCCCGCAACATCCCCTTCTTCCCCGACCTGCAGATCACCGACCAGGTGGCCCTGCTGCGGCTCACCTGGAGCGAGCTCTTCGTGCTGAACGCGGCTCAGTGCTCCATGCCGCTGCACGTGGCCCCGCTGCTGGCCGCCGCCGGCCTCCACGCCTCCCCCATGTCGGCCGACCGCGTCGTCGCCTTCATGGACCACATCCGCATCTTCCAGGAGCAGGTGGAGAAGCTGAAGGCGCTGCATGTCGACTCGGCCGAGTACAGCTGCCTCAAAGCCATCGTCCTCTTCACCTCAGGTGAGCGCTGGGAGCACCGGGGGGAGGAGGAGGAGACGTGGGGGGTGGCAATTCCCATGCGCATGGGGTGGGAGCGGCGCGGCCTGCCCCAGTCTGTCCCCATAAACAGTCACACGTATGGATATAAACACACGTATATATCCGTCAAATTAAGCGGAGGCGGTGGAAACACGCGTGCACGCATGTTAACAATTTTTCCCAGTGATAGATGGTTCGAATTAACTGGCAGGAAAGTGCATTAACAGCGCCTTTGAAGTGCTCTGGTTGTAGCCTATAAGAATATAATACATCTTCTATTATTGTAACCTGCGAGGGGGAAATTTATAAACATCAAAGGCGAACGATGCGAGGGAAATGTAGGAAATAGGAGCGAAGCGAGATAAGGGGCCTCGCAATGTCATTTTTTAATTATTATTCTAATTATCGCCACGATGGGGCTAATTGCCACTTTCTCCACTTGTTTGTTTTCCTTTTTCTCCTCTCCCTGTATTCTCTCCTTTCTGCCCGGTTCACTGTTGCGGGTTCAGTTGTGGTGCTGCTGTTGTTGTGTTTAACCTTGTCTCCCCACTCAGCAGTGCCCAAAGAGTCCCAATAAATCTGACTTAAAACCAGGGCCGAGGCAAAATTAAAAGCATTCCTGAACAAAGATGGCAAATCGTTCAGAGGCCTGGTTTAACAGTAAGCAGTTTATAATCCATCAATATCTGTTGCCTCCCATGCATGAAAAATAGTATTTACATTGTATTAAAATGACTCCTAAATTTGCACAATATTGTAATGTAGCAAACGCAGTATTAATATCGATTTGAACATCGGATAATTTATTTAGACAGGAGCACCTAATTTGTATGCAGGGTGGTCGGAGCCGTGTACTGTGACTGCCCCCTTCTCCTTCCCGTGCAAATGCAGGCGCTCCGCATCGGAGGGAATGTTTCTTTGCAGAGGATCAAGTGCAGATCTTAAAACAAATGGAAGATGTGTCGAATAGCCAGCGCCACATTTTAATGCATTTTATCTTAATAAGTCTTCCTGATGGAAACACGTTTTTCAGAAGTGACAACGAGATCTGGCTGCATTTATCAGGCGGGTGCAGCGCACTGCAGCCCTGCACTCCCCACCCCATTCATTTCTGGGTCTCATCAATAAGTGGGGCCGAGTTGAGATAGCCCGTCCCTTCTCCAGGACCCCACTCGGAGGGGTTACACCCTGCACAGAGGGGCTGCCTCGCACCCCCTTCGCAAAGGCTCAGAGGAGGAGGTTGCCCCACATGAGGACATTTGGGGATTTTTTTTTTTTTTTTTTTTTTTTTTTTTGCTTGGTTTGTGCTTTGCTTTTGATTTTATTATTGTTGTTGTTATTTTTCTCTCTCTCCACCCCCAGCCCCCTCTGCCCTCCTCAGATGTCCGACCTTGGCTGGAGAGGCAGCCAGGGGCTCCAGATGAGCCCCTCATTTACATATATTAAAAACAAATGTAATAATTAAATGTTTACGAGGAGAGAAGCCCCTTCCCTCGATGGAGCAGAGCATGAATGGGGGTTGGAGAGAGAATAATATTATTTCGGAGCAGAATCACACGGGGCACCTCAGAAAATGGAAATACAGCTGTCAGGAGTAATCCACCCCTTACCCCCATCCGCACATTTCCACTTTTCACTAAACTTGTTTTGATTGCTTAGCCAGAGGGGAATTCATGGGAAGCCTTGCTCAAAGTCATCCAACTTTTAAACAAACTTTGACTGATGGAAAAGACATTTTTAGGCATATTGTCCTAAGTCCTGAGGACTTAGCATTTGAAGCTGGCATGGGTTCCTCCTGTTGTGGTTTTTACATTTGGGCACTGGATAGTATATTTAATGCGTAAAATTCTGGACACCATCCAACAGCTGGGTCGTGACCCAAAACCTGCTGCTTTTCTTTATTTGTTATTTATTTATTTCCTCTTTTCCTTATTCCCAGTTATTAATTCCTGCACCTTCTTTTCCTCCCCATAAATAAGCGTTTCCAGGAAGGGATTGGGCTAAATAACACAAATCCAATAAATCTATTTGCAGCGCAATAAGAACTTTGATTTCTAGTTAGATGCCGGCTGATTACATCTATATTTCCTCAGCACTAAACTCTTCTGAAGGCGTAACATGAAATACATTCCCACCAGTACAAAGGGGAAGGCAGGAGTGTGCTGAGTAGTAATGGTTATTTATTTACATAATTTCTTTTCCATAGACTGCAGGAAGAAATATAGCGCTTTCCTGTATTGACACTTCACCGTATGAGAAAGTGAAGAGCGCAGAATTTCCACATTAGCCCACTTTCTGCGATGGGGTAATAATTCACCTCCAGTAAACGTGGGCTGTGTTGTTTCTCCCATAGACTGCACCTCCCTGGGCTCAGCGAGCTGCGCACTTCTTAATTATTATTATTTTTAATCCCCTCCTAAAGGGAGAGTTAAGTCTCCCCACTGCCACCTCGAAGGATGCAATATACAACCCCAACAAATGCATCCACCGGAATATTTGAAATAACCACAGCTCCAGGGGTGCCCTCGGCACGAGTACACCCTACATGGGTTTGGAGGTGAAGCTCAAATCCAGCCCTAGCTGCACCATGCAGCAGCACTGTCCCCATCCCTAGCGCTGCTGACCTGTGGTATAGGTGGACCTGATTAATATTTTACTAACCTTAAGGGTATGACATATGGGGCATAAAGAGAGAGCCCTGCTAGGGTGTCAGTGAGACCCTTTCATATTGCATTGTTTGGAAGTTGAATAGGATCCTAGTGCATAATGGGCAGATAATGCATGTAAAATAGCAAGATATATGTAAATATGGAGTGTGATTTGTGGCAATCAACATATGAACAGGCCTGTGGTTTTGATATATGTTGCAAACAAGAACAGGCCCAAGCGTTTGATATATATATATTCTGCAACCTGGTGCTTTAGATGTGGGAAAATATCACTGCATTAAAGGTACAGTATGGATTAGCAGTGCAGCCTGGCTCAGATAATTGTACATCTGAGGGACACCAGGTCCACGGCATGGGTCAAAGGTGCCCTCTTCAGAAGTTCCTGAATTATGGCGTGTTTTATTTGTATTTTTGCTCGAGGCCACAGCATTGTAGATGAAGGTGTTCAGAAATCCGTGTGAGGCCACTTCTTGATACGGGAAGGCACAAACTTCAAATATCCCGTTGCTGCAGATTTTTTTCCTTTTTTTTTTTTTTTTCCTTTTCTTTTCCCCCCGCTTTGAATAATTTGTTGTGTCTTTCCAGGGTCATAATTCCACATTCACAATTTTGTAGTGTCCTTTTGGGGGCCATTAACATTCATTAATTCATATACGGATCTATATATTAGCAAAGTCTGCCTTTGATCTGCGCTAAACCGCGCTGCCAGCTGACTGCCTCCCTCTGATCCTGATGTGTTGTTGGGCTTTTTCCTTTCCTTTCCTTTTCTTTCTTTCTTTTCTTTTTTTTTTCCTTCCCCCCATATATATGTATTTATTATTAATCGGCGAAACAATGTGGATGTCGGAGGCGCTCCCCTTTCTCAGCGGCACCACCGCCGCCGCGCTCTGTGCGATCGGGGATGCAAACAGGGCCGCGCGGGGCAAAAGCGGGGCTGTGACCGCGGGCTGCGCGGGGTCAGGGCCCGCCCGGCTTTGTGTGCCGGAGATCCGCGGGTCCCCGCGGGCCGGGCGCGGTGCCCGGGGCGGGGCGGGAGGCTCAGAGAGGCATCCCCCGGCCTCGGCCTTCCCTTGCGGCTGATGCGCAGCCATGTCGGCAAACTCGCTCCGTGTGCGCGTGTGTGTGTGCCTGCGCGCGGCGGCAGCGCTCGCTCTGCTTCCCCCCCCTCTCCCCCTCATAATTTTCGCTCCCGTCCGCCCCTCTCCCGTCGTCGCTATTTACCGGGGATGAGCTCGAAAGGGGCTCCGAGATGGGGGAGGTCTGTCACACACTGTGGGATGGGGGGCTGCGGGGG